CCTGAAGGCTCACGAAAAGCCTCCGGAGCCTGGGGAGGGCAAAAAACAGGCCTACCGGAAGTACCAGAAGTCCAGAAACAGGCCCACTTCTGACCTCCGGAGGCCCTCCAGAGCCCGGGGGAGGCCCTTTTTACCCTCCCGGAGGCTTGAGGAAAGCTTCCGGAGCCTGCGGAGGATGAAAATGCCCCCCCCCAAGCACCGTGGTGCAGGAGGCAGAGTAGGCCAGGCCTCCATGGCCACGCCTACCCAGCAACTGGGCAGAGAACAGGTTGCTAACATTTTTCAATCCCACCCCTGTGTTCACTCATATATTAGCCCAGGTCACAGTGGGGTTGGCCTGTTCTGTGTTGGCCTACCGTGGAACCTAGTTCTTGTCTGCGTACTATCTGAACCCGAGCAGTCCATGAAACTGGAATATGGTTTATTTCCAAGGCTTTGCCTGTTGCATGCTCACATCCTTTGTCTTTTGTTCATGGAGAAGATTTGCCTGCAGTGTGAACCCAGCCATTCTCTCTCTCTTTTTGCATAGGAAACTCAAGAACTCCAGAAGAAGCAGCAGTGGTACCAGCAGAACCAACTCAGCATGACCTTGGAGGACGAAGACGCCTACCTGAACTACTGCTCAGAGGCCATGTTTCGCATCCGCATTTTGGAGCTCCGACTCAGCAGGTATTTGATTTGATTTGATTTGATTACATTTCTATACCGCCCTTCTCCCGAAGGACTCAGGGCGGTGTACAGCCATATTAAAACAAACCCATCACAAAAATTAAAAACCATTAAAATAAATTAAAGCAATTTGACTGTTATTAAAACCCTTAGCTAAAACCCCTTTAAAACCAATTAAAACCCATTAAAATTAATTTATTCAGTCAGGCCGGCTTGATTGAACAATAGAGTCTTCAGAGCATGAAGGAAGGCGCGGAGGTCGGGGATCCTTCTTATATCTGGGGGCAGCTCATTCCATAGGGCAGGAGCCCCCACAGAGAAGGCTCTCCCCCTGGGGGTCGCCAGCCAACATTGCTTGGCCAACGGCACCCTGAGGAGGCCCTCTCTGTAAGAGCGTATCGGACGGTGGGAGGCAATCGGTGGTAGAAGGCAGTCCTGTAGGTATCCCGGTCCTAAGCCATGGAGTGCTTTGAAGATGGTGACAAGCACCTTGAAACGCACCCGGAAGACCACTGGGAGCCAGTGCAGTTCGCGCAAGAGAGGTGTTACCCGGGAGCGATGAGTCACTCCCATAACCACCTGCGCGGTCGCATTCTGGACCAGTTGGAGCCTCCGGGTGCTCCTCAAGGGGAGCCCCATGTAGAGAGCATTACAGTAGTCCAGATGGGAAGTGACAAGGGCGTGTCCCAGAAAGGGACGCAACTTGTGTGAATGGGACAATGGCCCAGACAATGTAGGGACAAAAGTAAAATTCTGGGTTCTTGAAACATGCAGACCCTCTCTACCCTATTAAATTCAAATTGTTGAACTTTTTTAGAGAGGCCAAACTAGACTAGGCTAAAGTAGACTAAACTTAAGTAGTCTAAACCTTTGCAAACTCTAACACAGTTAGTGCAAAGAATAGCATCACATTTTCACTAAAAAGAAATCCTCCTTAAGGACATTCATTTAGTTTAGTGTTTCTTAATCGAGGCAATTTGAAGATATTTGGACTTCAACTCCCAGAATTCCCCAGCCAGCTGGGGAATTCTGGGAGTTGAAGTCCACATATCTTCAAGACGTCAAGGTTGAGCAACACTGCTCTAGTTTCACAGAATCATACAGCAAGAAGGATTGTTGAAGGTCATCTAGATCAAAGGAAAGTCTAAGTCAGTGTTTCTCAACCTTGAAGATGTATGGACTTCAACTCCCAGAATTGAACATGGTGACACATAGAAGCGGGTTAGGAACATCTGGGACGTCCTAAACATTTCCCTTTGTCCGTCCACTTAAATCCCAGGCTGTGTTCACACCACCTGCTAGACTAGACTAAAATGGCATTGGGTAGCTACTCAGCCAATGGATGGTTTCAGATTGTGAGTCAAGCCACCTTATTAAGTATAGTAAGATTTATTTTATTTTTGATGTGTGTGGTTGCTCATCTTGAAACATAACTTTGGGTGGCTCACAACACCAATAAAAAACCCTAAACCACCAACCATAATTTGGTTTGATTCTTAATCGTATTGCGCTGATCTGCTGATCTGATCCCAAATCTGCATTTATCAAGAAATGAATTAATCTGGTTTTTGTGGTGAGCTATCGAGATATTTGACTATCACATCTACTGTACGTCTAATCTTTAATCTTTTCTTATCTAGAATAAACACGATCCATTATTTGATTTGTTCCCTGGGGGTGCTATTTTAGAAAGAGGTCTATTTAACAATGAAAATAATGATATTGGCAACAAGGGGTACTTCATGCTATGTTTATGATTTCTAAGCCATTAGGTATGGCTTACGTCATGACCCCAGTCAGCATCACTGATAACACACTGGCAAAACTGATTAAAGAAAAGAACATAAATACTTTTGTTTCCACATGGAAACCGCCTCTGAACTTTGTGCTTGATGTGGAAAAAAACCAAAACTTTGATTTTGGGTTTCACAGATTGACTGGTAGACTTTTGTAGAAATGATTTGTTGTGAATGCCTTATTCTACTGCAACAGAGAGAGTCGGAGGTCAATGTTTCTTTTTCTTTCCTTACCCTTCCTCACTTTTCTTTTCCTTTCTCCCTCATTGTCCTCTTACTTGCTTTTGCATTTTGTATTTTATAATACTTTATAACCTAATAAAAATCCCTGGTAACTCACAATTAGTGGAATTGAAACAGTAATTGCTTGTCTTTCTTCCCCAGGCATAAAGAGAGAGCACCGCTGAAATACATAGCATTGGAAGAGAAGCTTTCCAAAGATCCTCGTCTTTCTGAACATCTCAAATTTTATGTTTAATTCTTCCATGACTCATTGCTGGGAAGAGCTCCTCAAAAAAGCCAGATGAAGTTCATGAAACTTCCAAATAGCTTTGAAGAACGTTTTATTTTTCTCAGGCCACTTTCTTCCTCTCTTCCTCACTTTTGCAACTTTCTGGTAAGAAAGCATCAAGGAGAAGGAACTTTAATTCTTTGAATCTCTTAATGGAGCAACAATTTAAAACCTCTGGGTTTTGATAGCTAGATATATGGGTGAAAGATAGTAAAACTCTCAGATTATTTCTTCTTCTTCTTCTTCTTCTTCTTCTTCTTCTTCTTCTTCTTCTTCTTCTTCTCTTCTTCTTCCTCCTCCTCCTCCTCCTCCTCCTCCTCCTCCTCCTCCTCTTCTTTTTCCTCCTTCCTCCTCTCTCCTTCCTCCTCCCTCCTCCTCCTCCTCCTCCTCCTCCTCCTCCTCCTCCTCCTCCTCCATCATCCTATTTTGTTGCATGTTCTACTTTTCTTTCAGAGTCTGTTCTAAATTGTTATGCTTCCTACTCCCAGTGACAGGAGCCATGTCCTATCTCAATGTATTCAATGGGATCAGAGAGTACTTTGGCCTACAAGTTGTCTTAATTCTTCCTTTCTCTAATTTCATCATTAAAGCTTTCAATTTTTTTTGAGTCGATGCCATTTGAAACGATTTCACGTGATTGTACAACAATAAACTTAATATCAAATTTCAATCCAAAGTACTCCCTTTCCTTTAAAAGCATTGCAAAAAGTGATTTACAGCCAGTCCTTGCACTTACGACTGTAAGGACATCCTCACAGTCATACAATCAAAATCCAGGCGTTTGGTAACTGGCATAGATTTTGATGCTTACGCCATGTGAATGCTAGTTACGACCTTCCCAGACAGCTTCCAACAAGCAAAGTCAATGGGTAATGCAAGCGTCACTTAAAAACTGTGTGATTCCCTTAACAAACCTGGACTATTGCAATGCTCTCTACATGGGGCTCCCCTTGAGGAGCACCCGGAGGCTCCAACTGGCGCAGAGTGCGGCCGCGCGGGTGGTAATGGGAGCGACATGGCGCTCCCACGTGACACCTCTCCTGCGCGAGCTGCACTGGCTCCCGGTGGTCTTCCGGGTGCGCTTCAAGGTTTTGGTTACCACCTTTAAAGCGCTCCATGGCTTAGGACCTGGGTACTTGCGGGACCGCCTACTACCACCAATAGCCTCCCACCGACCAGTACGCTCTCATAGAGAGGGACTCCTCCGGGTGCCGTCAGCCAAACAGTGTCGGCTGGCGACCCCTAGGGGGAGAGCCTTCTCTGTGGGGCACCTACCGTCTGGAATGAGCTCCCCCCAGAGATATGGAGGATCCCGGATCTGCGCACCTGCCGCCGCGCTGTGAAGACCTTTTTATTCCATCAGGCGGGCTTGGCCTAATCTCTTCCCTTTTTTAAATATGTAAATTTTAATCTGTTTTTAAATTATTGGGGTGTTTTAATCTGTCTGGGCCAAAATGATTTAATTTGATTTTATCTGGTTTTTAAATTTTCTGTATCTATGTATTTTATTGTTTGGCTGTTCACCGCCCTGAGTCCTTCGGGAGTAGGGCGGTATACAAATCAAATAAACTAAACTAAATAAACTAAACAACTGGCAGTGACTCGCTTAACAATCCTGCCGAAAAGATCGTAAAATGGCCCATGACTCGCCAAACAACTGCCTTGCTTATCCATGGAAATTCAATTGTGGTCATAAGTCAAGGATTACTTATAGCTAATGTAGGGGTGAAAGGGGGGATTCTGAAAAGATAACCAATACAGTTTCTGAGACTGTGCCCATCACTTCCGGGAGTCCAGTGCCATTTGCTGAAATCAGAGCGTAAGTGAAAATTTTACACACTTAGTGTCACACCCATCCCACGAGTTGACTTCAACCAGAAGTCCGCCTTCTGATATCCTGTTGCGGGCTTCCAGTTCAAATGGAGAAGTTAGGGGTGTGTTTCCAATAGATGGATTTCAGTATTGCTCAGCTATGTTTCTAGCTAAATGTGCAGATTATGCACATTTATGACTTATGCAATACACAAGTTATTAATATTGCTTTATTACGCCACTTTTTTCCCCTGGTAAGTGGTTCGTGGTCATACAAAACTATATATAGATGTTTTGAGGATGTTTCAAAGTATGTTGTAGCCTTTATCTCTCTAAACGTACCTTGTAAGGTTCCTCCTAATCATTATCCCCATAATAATTCATTTCTTCATCCATCCATCCATCCATTCATTCATTTAGTCACCCAACACCCATTTAGTCACTTGATTAAGTGACTCTGAGTGGCTTATATTTCTAAAATATTTCTAAATATTTCTAAAACTGTAGAACAATTAAAATAATTAATTCAAAACACTAAGACAATAAAAAACATCCAGAAAATAAATACGAACAGCAGTTGAAATAATTAAACCAACTAACAGTAAAGTCAAGACACGGATCCATTAACATAGTCCGAGCCCCAGGTTGGGTATACAATATAGCAAAGTTTTTAGAGCCTTTCAAAGGGTAAATCTAATTTCCAAGGGGAGGATATTCCACAGAGCAAAAAAAGGCCCATTTTCTTGTCCCTGCCAGCTGAATCCGCAGCGTGCCCAATCTGCTCCATTGAATTGGATGGGTAGAGACTCTTGGAGTCTCCCCAGATAGCCCAGTTCCAAGACATGTAGGCCTTTAAGGGTGACCCAGAAACATACTGGCAGCCAAGCAGATCACAGAACAAATGTGTTACATGTACCGTGTAGCCAGTACCATTTGTTACTGGTGCAGCCACATTTTGCATCAGTTGAAGTTTCTGAATGGTCTTCAAGGGCAGCCCCATGTAGAACATATTGCAGTAATCTAACTGGGAGGTTACAAGGATAATGGTTGTTGCAGAGGTAGAGGTTGAGGAAATGTTACTTAAAAGCAGACGTAGCCACCACGCAGCCCAAAAGGCAAGGCCTCTCTGCTGCAGCCAACTACTACAATGTAAACAGCATTGTGAAAATTACTATAAATTAGCTCCCCTCCTAACAATTTTCTTGATATGAGAATCCATGTTTTTGCCATGCTACCATTGTCCACAGTGAGATGGACAATCTGTCAACAATCCAACTGGGCATCTCCAATTGTCCCTTCCTGCCCCCAACTCCAAAACTGTTATGGATGCAAATCCCCCCTCCCCACCCATTGGAAAATGTGACTTCCTTTTCAGCATATGTTATACTCAGTTCTCTTGCAGAGATGAGAAGAAAGAGAAGAGGAGGTTGAAAAGAAAAAGAGAAGGACGCGTGTCGGAAAAGAAGGTTGGGTTCCTTGCCAACAGTTGCTCTAAGCCTCACTTCCTGCTCCCTTCAACCGTGCCCGGTGTGTTGATCTGCAAACAGATCACTTCCGAGGAGATGCATGCATCCCTTGAGAGAATTTCTAGCAGAAATGATCAGGTCTGGGAAATGTTCAGTTGCCATATTGTTATTGTGTTGGTCTCCAAGAGAGTTGGCTGCAGAAATTCAGATGACCACTAGATGGAGACAGAATTTCTTGGCTTTTTCTTTCTCGTCTCTTTTCTGCCACCTTGTGTTCTTCTGTATCTTTGCACACCTGAAAGTCCCATTCAAGGTTTACGAGGGTTTTCAATTGTCAACCTCAGAAGCAATAAGAATATTAAAAAGAGATCCTTTCACCCCAGTGGAGAAGATTGTGTCCTAATCTGCCTTCTAGGTGCTCAAGCAAAGATGATCCTTTCAAGAGAAGGCTCTCGTCTGGAAGACATTATGTCTAGATAAGCCATGATGGCTTCAGTTTAGAAGACAGAGTTGTCTATCTCTACCAAAACAGGAAAGGGGAGGCAGACTGCAATTCTTCCATTCGTTGATAAACAGGTGAAGACTTGTCAAGGCAACAGACTTTGAAAGGAACCATCAGTTTCATGGTAGGACATATCTCAGGAACATCTGAAGACAACTCATCTCTAAATACCTTCTCCTGTCCTCTTCTCTCAGTGAAGGCCTGCAGCCGGGGTGCCTCTGTCTCTGTGCTCAGGCCGTTTTGTGCCCAATCTCACTTCTGCATACACAACTTCAGTATCAGGTTGAGCTTCCCTTTTGTGGAATCTGATGTCAGCATATGTCACCTCACTCATTTGCCTGGTCAAAGTGTGCTGTTAGGAAGACAGGGACAGAAGAAGGAGAAGGTGATTTTTAACTGTGATCTTAAAAGCAGCAGATTCTCTAAACAGGAACAAAAACCATCATGTGTTCTGAGCAGTGGTGGGATTCAAAAATTTTTACTACCGGTTCTGTGGGCATGGCTTGGTGGGCATGGCAGGGGAAGGTTACTGCAAAATCTCAATTCCTTCCCCATTCCAGGGGAAGGTTGCTGCAAAATCCCCATTTCCTCCTGGTCAGCTGGGACTTGGGAGGCAGAGAATAGATGTGGGCGGAGCCAGTCAGAATTTTTACTACCGGTTCTCCGAATTACTCAAAATTTCCACTACCGGTTCCTCAGAATTGGTCAGAACCTGCTGAAACCCACCTCTAGTTCTAAGACTCCACAAAGAAACCGGCTGTCATAGACCATTTGTGAGAAACAGACATTACAAGAATCAGTCACATGACTTGTATATACATAGAACAGAGTAGGAAGGGACCTCAGGTCATCTAGTCCAACCCCCTGCCCAAGCAGACCCTACACCATTTCGGACAGATGGCAGTCCAGTCTCTTCTTGAAAGCCTCCAGTGATGAAGCTCCCACAGCTTCTGAAGGCAACTTCTGTTCCATGGGTTGATTGTTCTCACTGTCAGGAAATTTCTCCTTATTTCCAGGTTGAATCTCTCCTTGATGAGTTTCCATCCATGATTCCTTCTCTGGCCTTCAGGTGCTTTGGAGAATAGCTTGACCCCCTTCCTCCTCTCTGTGGCAGCCCCTCAAATATTGGAACCCTGCTGTCATGTCTCCCCTGGTCCTTCTCTTCACTAGACTAGCCATGCTCAGTTCCTGCAACCGTTCATCCTATGTTTTAGCCTCCAGTCCCCTCATCATCCTGGTTGCTCTTCTCTGCACTCTTTCTAGAGTCTCAACATCTTTTTTATAGTAAATTCATCCCCTTTTGGGGTTTATGCAATGAACGATAAACCACGCAAATCTCCAGAATTGAAGCAAGGAATTACTATAATCACCCTTCTCCCTTTGTTCCCTTCAAAACCCTACAGAAAATTAAAATGAATTAAGCTTCACATATTGTACGAAGGCAGCCATTACTACAAACATAGAGAGTGAGAGACTTCCAAGCATATACAGGTAGCCTTTGACTTTCAGCCATTTGTTTAGTGACTGCTTGAAATTATAACAGCACTAAAAAAAAAGTATCCGGTCCCTTTTTCACACTTACAACCGTCGTTGCATCCTCTTGGTCATGTGATCAAAATTCAGGTGCTTGGTGTGCATTTATAACAATTGTAGTGTCATGTGATCCCCATCTGTAACTTCCCAGTCAACTTCCAACAAGCAAAATCAATGAGAGAATCTGGATTCATTTAATGACCACATGATTCGCTTAACAACTGCAGGAATTAACTTAACAACTGGCAACCACTTACAAACTGTGGCAAAAAAAAATCGTAGAGTTGATGCTGACTCAAGGGGCTCATCTCCATTTCAAGGCCATTAAACTAGTGCCGTCCAAAGACATTTCCGCAGTCATGTGGCCAACATGACATCACAGGTGTTTTCTGCCCACCGAAATGGTACCTATTTATCTACTTGTATTCACACATGCTTTCGGACTGCTAGGAGCCGTGGTGGCACAGTGGTTAGAATACAGTACTGCAAGCTACGTCTGCTGACTGCTGGCTGCAGTTGCAGGCTGACTCTGCCCACTGCCAGGAGTTTGATTCTCACTGGCTCACGGTTGACTCAGCCTTCCATCCTTCCGAGGTGGGTAAAATGAGGACCCAGATTGTTGGGGGCAAGAGGCTGACTCCGTAAACCATTTAGAGAGGGCTGCAAAGCACTGTGAAATGGTATATAAATCTAAGTGCTACTGCTTTGCTATTGTTAGGTGAGCAGAAGCTAGCTAGGCAAAGACGGGCACTTACTCCACCATGTAACACTTGGGTGTCGAACAGGGGTGGGTTCTAATTTTTTTTACTACCGGTTCTGTGGGTGTGGCTTATTTTGTGGGCATGGCTTGGTGGTGGGGGTAATGTGACTAGGTGGGCGTGGCCAACTTTTTTTTTTTTTTTTACTTTTAAAAGCATTTTTTCTACAACCTTAAGAGGTTGCAGAAAAAAATGCTTTGAAAAGCCTCTGACGATCAGGCAACTCAGTTGGGATCGTCAGAGGCTTTTCAAAGCATTTTTTTTGCCACCTCTTTGGCTGAAGAGGTTGTAGAAAAAATGCTTTTAAAAGTAAAAATGAGGTGGGCGAGGTAAGCGAGCGGCGACCGGGACGGGGACTGTTTCGGGGGCATGGCCAGCCAATGTTATTACCGGTTCTCGGAACTACTACAAATTTTTACTATCGGTTCTTGCGAACCGGTGAGAACCGAGAGCAACCCACCACTGGTCTCGAACTCTGGACTGTCGGCTTTCTAGTTGATAAACTCAGTGTCTTTAACCTCTGAGCCATTGTGCTACCCAGCCAGGAAGAAATGTACTTGCAAAATTCTGTCAACGTAACTTTACTACAAGGATAGAGCTATTACTGCTGGGTGTGCTTCTTGTCTGGACTACCTCATAGGACTGACCAACATTCATTAGTTGCATAATATTAAGACTGCTCCTGGTGCCCAACTGTATTACAAGAGGTCAATGTACTTTTAGAATTGCGAAAGTATGCAAATACTGTATGAAAATTGGTGCTTTCTGGAATGGGGGGATTTCCCAGCGGAAAAATAGAAGCTCTGGAGGGAAAAAATTAAAATATTAAAAATACAAAAGGCAAAGTACCAGAGATTCTTTTTGATTCGATGGATAATTCGGAATTTGATGGAGATATAAAAATAGTGACTGAAAAGAAAATACTAATGTTCCTGAAAGATATAACTTTTTTTTTTCAAGCATGATTTGGATGTTTAAGACTTTGGCTACTAATGTTCACATAGCAGAGTCCTCACCAAAGACTTTTTCAGACCACAGTTCAGGGATTTTAACTTTTAAAAGGGAAAAATAGCCCTTTTAGGTATGGATGGAAAGAGATGTTGCTATGAAAGGGAACAATAGAAAATTGCAAAAGGAAGTTAAAAGATTTTTTTGAGAATAACCTCAATTGGATAGATCTAGTCTTGAAAAAAGAAGGACTAATAATAATGGGTTAAACGTAATAATGGGTTAAAAAAAAAAAGGTAAGAGAAAATACAAGCGATTTTGGATAGGTTGAAAAAAAAAAGGAATTTGAAACTGTCCAGAAAGGACAACTATTAGTCATCAAATCAAACTTCTATAGCAGCAACTAACTATATTGAGCCTGACCGAGATGGAAATAAAGATGAATTATGCAAAACAAGGACATTTTGACTTTGCAAATAAATCGGGGAAATGATGGGTACATGACTTACGTAAAGAGAACAAAAATCAAGCAATACTAACTGACAAGAAGAAAATCCTGTAATGACAGAGAATACAAAGGTGCAAAAAGAGTTTCATCGATATTGTACTTTATATACAGGTCAAGAAATATTTCTAGGTGAACATTTACGTAAACAGAATTTCCCGAAAATCACAGAGAACCAAGCAAATGTTGAATGGGCCTATAAAAATAAGAAGCTATTAAAAAGGCTAAAACAGGAACAGCATCTGCTCCAGAACGTCAGACAGCCTTACTATAAATGCCTTGAGGATGAACGTTTACAACCTTTAAAATAAGTGATGAGTAATATTTTACACAAAAGGGACGTGGTGGCTCAGTGGCTAAGACGCTGAGCTTGTCGATCGAAAGGTTGGCAGTTCAGTGGTTCGAATCCCGAGTACCGCATAACGGGGTGAGCTCCCGTTACTTGTCCCAGCTTCTGCCAACCTAGCAGTTCGAAAGCATGTAAAAAAATGGAAGTAGAAAAATAGGGACCACCTTTGGTGGGAAGGGAACAGCGCTCCGTGCACCTTTGGCATTGAGTCATGCCGGCCACATGTCCACGGAGATGTCTTCAGACAGCGCTGGCTCTTCGGCTTTGAAACGGAAATGAGCACCGCCCCCTAGAGTCGGGAACGACTAGCACATATGTGCAAGGGGGAACCTTTACCTATTTAATATTTTACACAATGGAAAGATTCTGGATAGCTAGAAAGAGGCTAATATACTGTAGCGCTTTTAATTGGCTCAAGACTAGAAATAAAGAATAATAATTATAAGGAGAGAAGATTAGGAGCACAATATATATATATATATATATATATATATATATATATATATATATATAACAAATGTATGGAGTGGAATAAAAATGTATATAACATGAATGTAGAAATGTATAATATTAAAGATATAATTAAAATATATAGATCTCTATAAGGGGAAGGGGGAAAAAAAGGAAAATGATGGGAAGAAGAAAAACTAATAGATTAAGATATAGGGGGAAAAGAATAAAGTAAAAAATGGAAGACCACTATGAAACAATGCTTAAAAATGATAAGATATTTATATGTTGTATGTTGTGTAAATGTCAAATATGTGTTTTAATAAAATTATAATTTTTTTTAAAAAAATAATTCAGTTGCTTGGCAACTGATTCACATTTATGACAGTTGCAGTATCCTGGGTGGGGGGGTCACGTGATCCCCTTTTGCAACCTTTTGACAAGCAAAGTCAATGGGGAAGCCGGACTCACTTAACAACCGTGTTAATAACTGAATAATGGCAGAGGTTCAATTAACAACTGTCTCACTTAGCAACAGAAATTTTGGGCTCAGTTCTGGTCATCAGCGGAGGATTAACCATAATAAGAACGACTGGAAATTGAAATAGAGCAGTGAAAACAAAAAAGGGGAGAAATAATAGAAAAAGCTATTGTTAATAATTAAAAAGATAAGGGATCGGGGCTGCCTGGACTCCATAATGGGAAACATTAAATTGAAAATGAATACAGCAATAGAGAGAGAAGAAGGAATCGGAAGTGTGGAGGAAGGAGAGAGAGGGATGGAAGAGTAGGGAGGAAGGAAGGGAAGGGAAAGTAGAGTAGGAGAGAAGGCCAGACAGGGAGGAAGAGAGGAGGAGAAGGGGAAGGGAAGGGGAAGTAGAGAAGAGAAGAAGAAGGTGGGGAAAGACAGTTGGAAGGAGAAGAGGGAGAGGCTAGGTTTGAGGAGAAAGATTGCTGTACGGTTAAAAAAAGATGAAGTGGAAGAAAGGCAACTCTGAACAAACAAATATAAATATATTAGGAAAAAGAATGAATTGTTTAAGAATAAAAGAGGACAAATATGTATAAATAGTAAAGTTAGAATTTAGGGATAAATGAAGAAGATGTTTATATATGCAAGTATAGAAATACTGAGGTATATTCAAAAAAAAAAGGAAAGGGGGGGAAGACGATATTGACAAAAATTATAATTGAGTAAAATGTATTTGAATTTGACTAATTGTATAAAATAAGAAATGACCAACAGTCTGTTCAAAAAAAAAAAGAAAAGAAAGAAAGATCTGGGTGAAGGTGGGAGAGGAGAAAAGAAAAAAACCCAATAAAACTTAAAAAAAGAAAAGAAAAAGCTAAAAGAAAAAAGCTATGAAGAATTGGCTCCCTATATTCTTCACAATCATTACAATTATATTTTAACATTTCTCTCTATGAAGCAACAATATGACTCTCTCCTTTCTATAATTTATCCTGTCGAAACCATAAATTCATTATTTTCATTTTGCACAAAAAGCCCATCAGAGGTTTTCGGACAGCAATAAAGATCGATATTGTCTTTTCTCTAATCAAAAAAGTTAGTTTATCCATCTCAACAAGATCCATCTTGTGAGAAGGTCACAAAAAGCGATCACATGACCACCTTAACGGTCACACTTGCGACCGTCATAAATATGAGTCAGAGGCCAAGAGTCTGAATTTTGATCACGTGACCTCAGATTGCTGCAACCGTCATAAGGGTGGAAAAAACAGTCAGAAATCACTTTTGTCCCTGCCGTCGTAACTTCAAACAGTCACTCCATCAATGGTTGTAGGTCAAGGACTACCTGTATTGCTATTAAAACATTCAAGAAAAAATATTTTTAAATAAACCCCAAAAGTATTTAAACACACAGTAAATGCCAAGTACAGGGACCCCGGTGTGACTTCATGATGAAGTAGTCATTTGATTTACCTTTTTGGCTTCTTCGGCTACCGTAGGCTCACTCTCCAAAGGGTTTTCTGAAGCTCCTACGAGAGTGAAATAAAGAGGAACACAAAACATTATTCCTCAACGACATTCAAGAATTGTCATGAAGGAGTCAATTAACAGAGTTGGAAGGGACCTTATAGGTCATCAAGTCCAACCCCCCACTCAAGCAGGAGACCCTACACCTTTTCTGACAGATGGCAGTCCAGTCTCTTCTTGAAAGCCTCCAGTGATGAAGCTCCCACAACTTCCAAAGGTAACTTCTGTTCCATTGGCTGATTGCTCTCACTGTCAGAAAATTTCTCCTTATTTCCAGGTTGAATCTCTCCTGGATCAGTTTCCATCCATTATTCCTTCTCTGGCCTTCAGGTGCCTTGGAAAATAGCTTGACCCCCTTCCTCCTCTCTGGGGCAGCCCCTCAAATATTGGAAGACTGCTCTCCTGTCTCCCCTGGTCCTTCTCTTCCCTAGACTAGCCATGCCCAGTTCCTGCAACCGTTCATCCTATGTTTCAGCCTCCAGTCCCCTAATCTTCTTGGTTGCTCTTCTCTGCATTCTTTCTACAGTCTCAACCTCTTTTTTATAGATTTGCAACTGGCTGACAAATCACACTCAACAATGTAGTTCCTTAATGAAACAGCTCCCACAACTTCCGAAGGCATGTCATGTCTCCCCTGGTCCTTCTCTTCACTAGACTAGCCATGCCCAGTTCCTGGAACCGTTCATCATATGTTTTAGCCTCTAGGCCTTTGATCATCTTAGATAGATTCAGATTACCAGAGTTGGAAGGGACCTTGTAGGTCATCTAGTCCAACCCCCTACCCAAGCAGGAAACCCTACATCATTTCTGACAAATGGCAGTCCAATCTCCCCTTGAAAGCCTCCAGGGATGAAGCTCCCACCACTTCCGAAGGCAACTTCTGTTCCATGGGTTGATTGTTCTCACTGTCAGGAAATTTCTCCTTATTTCCAGATTGAATCTCTCCTTGTTCAGTTTCCATCCATTATTCCTTGTCTGACCTTCAGGTGCCTTGGAAAATAGCTTGACCCCCTTCCTCCTCTCTGTGGCAGCCCCTCAAATATTGGAAGATGCTATCCTGTCTCCCCTGGTCCTCGTCTTCAGAAGCCAGAGTGATGCTCCTGGTTCTGCACTGTTTTTCCCTTTGGAAATCTATTCCTACTCCCACACTATTCCAAGTCTGGAGAAGCTCCTTGGATGAGAAGCAAAACATCTTCAAAAGAAAAAACCAGAAAGTCCAGTTGCCTCCTGAAAAAAAACACCTCTGGGACAACCATGACTTGGAGGACTGAGAATCTCTACAGACTTTTAGCCATACAATTTGGGGTGAACACCCTTGGAATGGGGTGGGGGTAGGAATGGATTTCCAGAGCGGGGGAAAATGCAGACTACAGGAACCAGGAGCACCACTCAGGTGACCCTGAGGACACAGATAAACCTCCAAGTGGCCTCAATGACCCTCTAAAAGGATGCAAATGACCAGCTGTCTGCAAGGAATATAAATCCTTCCATTCCCCACCATTCAGTCAGAGCCGAAGAAGCTTCTTGGATAAGAAGCAAAACGCCTTCAAAATGAAAAAACAAGGAAGTCCAGTTGCCGCCTGAAAAAGCACCTTTGGGACAACCTGGAGGACTGAGAATCTCTACAGACTTTAAGACTAGCCGACGGTTTTAACCACGCAGTGTGTACATAGTAGAGAAATTAAACGCTTTCCTCCATTTAATATGCTTGTGCTGCTGAGGTTGTAAGGAAACAGGAACTGCAGGTTAAGAAACCAATCTAAAAAGGGGGAAAGGTACTCTAGGAAAAAGGGGAACTGGGTGGGGAAAAGGTGGGGAGATAGATAAAAAATGAAGAAGTTCAGGGAGAGGGGAAATGCCTGCAATTACTGCGAGTTCAAATCTCACCAGGCTCAAGGTTGACTCAGCCTTCCATCCTTCCGAGGTAGGTAAAATGAGGACCCGGATTGTGGGGGCAATAAGCTGACTTTGTATAAAAAAAGAACACCGCTTAGGGGGGCCCCAAAAGCCCTACTAAGCAGGTTTATACAAAAGTAGGAAGGCTGTTGCTTAACGCATTGTAAGCCGCCCTGAGTCTCCGGAGAAGGGCGGCATATAAATCGAACCAATAAATAAATAAATAAATAAATAAATAGGCATGTCCAAAAAGGTTGTGATCTTGTAGTTTTTGTCAAAGGGGGCTGCAAGGGAAGGATGTGTGATTCTGGGGGAGGGAATAAAAAGCTGATAAATCTATTCCTGAGTGCACCTACTTTGTTAGTCGCCCCATTTTTTTCTAGAACGTATTTTACAATAAATTGTTTGCTTCTTCACTTCATGACTCTGTCAAATTTCAGCCTGGTGAGTTTGTTTCTCACATCCATGAGGGCATCTAGCTGCAATTGAAGCTGTTGGCAATCAGCCATTTACAACAGGGGTCCCCAGTGGTGAAATCCAATTTTTTTTACTACCGCTTCTGTGGGCGTGGCTTGGTGGGCATGGCAGGGGAAGGATACTGCAAAATCCCCATTCCCACCCCACTCCAGGGAAGGATATTGCAAAATCTCCATTCCCTCACCATTCTGGGACCAGCCAGAGGTGGTATTTGCCGGTTCTCTGAACTACTCAAAATTTCCACTACCGGTTCTCCAGAACCTGTCAGAACCTGCTGGATTTCACCCCTGGTCTCCAACCTTGGCAACTTGAAGACTTGTGGACTTCAACTCCCAGAGTTCCTCAGCCAGCTTTGCTTTGCTGGCTGAGGAACTCTGGGAGCTGAAGTCCACAAGTCTTCAAGTTGCCAAGGTTGGAGACCCCTGCTTTATGACATGGGCCCAGCCAACTTGAGGGACCGTCTCATCTCACTGGGATTGGCCTGGCCCACCCATGCTGGCACAGGAGTCATGCTGTGGGCTAGGATCCTATCGGCTAGGATGTTCCAGCTGGCAGGGTCCATGAGAAGGGCCTTCTCTTCATCACACCTGCCCTGTGGAACAACTTGTCCTCCAGAGTGAAGTTCACTCCAACCTTCCTGAACTTCTGTAAGCGCCTAAAAACCTGGCTGACTTGGAGATCCAAAGGAAGGGCTTCTTGTTGGGGGTGCCTGATAGATTAATATCAAGTTCCACCTGTCCTTGCTCATCCCATTCCTTCCCTCACATTTATTTTTTATTTTTATTTATTTTTATTTATTTTTATATGCCGCCCTTCTCTGGAGACTCAGGGCGGCTTACAATGCGCTAAGCAATAGCCTTCATACTTTTGTATATTTTATACAAAGTCAGCTTATTGCCCCCACAAACTGGGTCCTCATTTTACCCACCTTAGAAAGGATGGAAGGCTGAGTCGACCTTGAGCCTGGTGAGAATTGAACTCGCAGTAATTGCAGGCAGCTGGATGTTAAATGCTGCCTTAGGAGGAGGCATTAGCCTCCTACGCCACTCAGGCTCTACATCATTTAACTATTGTATTTTATATTTGTACACTTCGTAGTATTTTATTTATATAGTTTTATTTTTAATATGGTAAGCAGTCCAGAGTTGGGCGATCAAGTAATTGGAAAAATAAGCAAAATAAATCAAGAAATCAACACAATAAATCAAGAGGAACTAAGATGATTAAAGGCCTGGAGATTAAAACCTATGAAGAATGGTTGCAGGATTTGGGTTTGGCTAGTCAAGAGAAAAGAAGGACTGGGGTGACATGATGGCAGAGTTCCAATATTTGAGGGGCTGCCACAAAGAGGAGGGGGGTCAACTTATTCTCCAAAGCACCAGACGGCAGGACAAGAAACGATGGATGGAAATTAATCAAGGAGAGAAGCGACCTGGAACTAAGGAGAAACTTCCTAACAGTGAGGACAATTAACCAGTGGAACGGAAGTTGCCTTCAGAAGTTATGGGTGCTCCATCACTGGAGGTTTTTAAGAAGAGACTGGACAGCCACTTGTGTCAAATTGTATAGGGTCTCCAGCTTTATTCTGATTGATTGGAATGTTATTCAAAGACAGAAGACTGATTTTCTTCATCAGAAAAGGGGTCACCAGACTCCTCCTCCTAGGTTGTTGTTGTTGTTGTTGTTGTTGTTTGGCCACCAAAGGTCAAGGCTGACTCACTCTGCACTTTCGCTCGCAGCCAGACAACTGAAATCAGGGAGCGGGGAAGGAATGATTGGAAGGTATGGGTGGCTGGGAGGGAACTGAGGAATTCATGTGCACCATCTGTGGCCTGGGAGAATCTCGACACCTCAAGGTCGCAGGATGAGAACCTTCTGAGCCGAGCAGACTCTTTCCCAAAACAAAGAGATTGCACTGGATTGGTGGACACTGGACAGTGGGTGGCCCAGTTGGGAAAGGAGGGATTTTAATGATGCAGCTTTTCGCGCGAAAACTTCAGAACTGGCTTTGCTTTCTACTGTGTCTATATGGATCTATCAGTAAAGTAAAATGATGTCTGAAGAGTTTCTTTCGCTGCATGTGCCAATAGGATGGTTGACACCAAGGACTATCAAGATTCTTCCACCTGACTCAAAACCGTGGAAAGAGATCTGTGGCTTGTTTCCCTCCTTCTGAGAATGAAAAGTTTGTGTTGTGGCCTCCCGGCAGCCAGCGAAACTAGCAGCAGAGTCAGACAGTGAGGAGGTTGGGGAGGAACGTGGGCCAGTCCTGGGGGCTGGGGAAAGCTTGGACGAGGGCTCTGCATCAGAGGCAGAGAGGAGGCCAAGGCCATCTGATAGTTATGTGCAGCCTCCGGAGTCTGACAGCAGCAAGGCAGAAGGACAGCCGGAGCCTGTTCCCAGTGTGCACATGCGCAAAGCTGCCAGACGACAAGAACAATTAAGATAATAGGATCGACTTGGGAGTAGGGCTTGGAAATGATTGGCCCCTCCCATAAGACATAAAAGAAGAGCGAACGGGGTGTGAGCTTTTGCAGGAAGCAATTAGTTCATCTGGCCGATTCAAGATTTGAAAACTCTGTTTGTGACTCTGTGCCAAGTTTGGCCTTGCCCTGCGTCTGTAAATTAGCTCTTTGGCAGCATTCCACATGAGATAGGTGGGTGTTGATAACCTTCCCCTGAAAGACTGTTTATCAAGCCTTGCAGACTGTGAATGAAAGTAATTTACAATCATATAAATAAAAGAGGTTTTGGGGGACTAAGATTGTGCTTTATACTTTCTAAGGACCCTAGGTCAGGACAGTCTGAAAGGACCACTCTGGAAGAAGGTCGCACCTTTATTTTTCCTCTTGGATCTCCACACCAGGACTCCGAGAAGCAGCAAGAAGATGAGGGTGCCCACGGCTACTCCAACTCCCACAGGGATTCCGATTCCACTGTCGGTATTTTTTTTGGGTGGGCCTGATTGCCTGCCGTCACCATCGACGTTGGTGATCTGCGACGGCTTCTCACGTCCTGCTTAAACAAGCAACACCAAATGAACTGGTAATAATGGACAGCCTCCGAAGAGAAGCTCTTATCTACAGGCAGTCCTTGACTTACGGCCACAGCTGAGCTCAACGTTTCTGTTGCTAACCAACAGAAGCAAATTTTTTCCCCATTTTACAACCTTTCTTGCCACAGTTGTTAAGTGAATCACTGTAGTTGTTAGGTTGTTAAGTGAATCCTGATTCCTCATTGACTTCGTTTGTTGAAGGTCGCAAAAGGGGGTCCCATGACCCTGGGACACAGCAACCGTCATAAATGTGAGTCAGTGGCCAAACATTCGAATTTTGATCACATAACCACAGGGGGATGCTGCAATGGTCGTAAGTGGGAAAACGGTCATCGGTCACTTTTTTCAGTGCCGTTGTAACTTTGAGTGGTCACTAAATGAACTGTTGTAAGTCGAGGACTACCTGTACTTCTAGGTCCAGAGATACTCTTAGAATTGCAAACTTAACATCCTGGGAGGGCGGGGGAAGGGAGAAAAAAATATGAAACCCTCAGTGAACACCTCCGATCTCCCACACCCCATCCCACATCTTAGGCCAGTGATGGTGAACCTTTTGGACACCGAGTGCCCAAACTGCGCAAGCGCTGTCAGCATAATGCAGATTTAAAGCTGACCAGCCATTGTAAGGATGTGAACCACTGAGGATGAGTCAGCAGGGTTATTGCCCCTTTAAGACTGAGGATGAGTCAGCAGGGTTATTGCCCCTTTAAGAAGCTGTCTATATAAGGGAGGCCATTAGAGGGCATCTCTCTCTCTCCTCGTGTATCTCTCTCCTCATTGTGTTCTATCTGCATTGTAACTCTCCGTGAAGAATTGAAGATTGATAGCTTGCCTGGTATGTGCCTACCACATGTATGTCTGTATATAGAAGTCTTGTATATAAACCACTGTTTGTAATAACAAAACCTCTGTGTCCTGTATTTTGCTCCTGGGTTGTCTCAAAAGAGTAGTCATGCTGTAAACACTCTGAATGCCCAACTGCATGCCCAAACTGAAAGGTGTGCATGCACGCACGAACATGTGTGTGCCAACATCTGCACATGCACACGCCAACATGCACGCATGCACAGCAGAGACCCAAAGACCAGCTGGCTGGCCAGAAGTGGGGCATCCCAAGGCTAGCAGAGGAGCAAGAGGTAAGACCTTTTTCTTTCATGAGCTTCTGTTTCGTCGTTTGCAGGGACACAGAAGCTCACGAAAGAAACGCCATGGAGATCTGACCTGGGCCAACGGCGGACGTGCCAGCAGAGAGGGCTCTACATGCCACCTTTGGCACGCGAGCCATAGGTTCACCATCACAATCTTAGGCTAATACTATTGCCTAAGTTGTTTGCACAACATCATCACAACATACTTGCTCTGGTTTCCATGCCAACATTCTCTGTGAGAGGTAACATAGCAATACCAGATATATCAGATCTATTTAGGGAGAAGTCAATGAAATCTGGAGAGAAATCTATGCAATCAGGTTCATTGAGCTCCAGTCTGATTGGTTTAGGCTACCTAAACATCTCCTGGTCGAAGTTATGGCATAGTCAACAATTTCTAGGAGAACCTACAATGACTTGGGTTCCCCAGACATGCTAAGCCACAAACTGTGGATCATTCCCATAGGAAGGGGAGAAAATTGTTCTATTTACCAAGGATTGTCACCCTAGTTCCAGTCCCTTGGCCATATTTATGAACTTCACAGGTATAGTTTCCAGAGTCCTCCTGTTTGACGTTCCTCAAAGACAGAGAAGCTCGGTCTTTCAGAACACTGGTTCCATGGGTCATTAAGCTCTTCTGTCCATCAGAGGCAATCTTATACCATGAAACACGATGGAAGAATTTCGTTTCCTTTTCCCGGACTCTACAGTCCATAGTGAGGTTTTCCCCTTCTTTTGCCTGGATGGAAGATGGTGACTGGCTCACCACTAGATTTACAGCTGTGAGGTGGGGAAAAAAGGACAATAATTTCAGCAACCTTGGTGTGCAACTCAGTCAAGGGCCTAAATGAGAAGTTTGGGTTGATACAGGCTACATTCGTGAGACATCTCCATCTGCAGATTTGAGTTGGACATGCTGGGACACAAGATGGCCTACATCAGGGGTCTCAAACTCAAGGCCCACGGGATTGGATCTGGCCTGAGGGGCCGCCCTGGAAACAGCGAAGGACCGGCCCGCGGTGCCTCTGCCAGTGAAAATGGAGCTTGGGAGGGACACGTGCGTCCTCCCGAGCTCCGTTTTCACTGGCAGACGGTTGCAGGAAACCGTTGCTGCTGAAAACGGAGCTTGGGAGCCTGTTTTCTCTAGCAGAGCACTTGGGCCAGCACAGGCGCCCCCGACATGAGTGATGTCGAGTTATCCTGGCTACGCCCACCCCGGTGTTTGTGTCCGAGGTCAAACACAACCCTGATGTGGCCCTCAACGAAATCGAGTTTGAGACCCCTGGCCTACATGAAGTGATTAGGTCAAAACTACCCACTGAAATCCATGGCCAAGCTTGATTACCTTCCAGCACTTAGATATTATAGCATTTGGATCAGGGGTGAAATGTAAAATGTGTTACTACCGGTTCTGTGGGCGTGGCTTGGTGGGGGGGTAATGTGACTGGGTGGGCGTGGCCACCTTTTTTTTTTTTTTTAACTTTTCAAAGCATTTTTTCTAATGCTTTGAAAAGCCTCTCTGCCGATCAGGCAACTCAGCTGGGATCGTCAGAGACTTTTCAAAGCATTTTTTTTACCACCTCTTCGGCCAAGAGGTTGCAGAAAAACATGCTTTGAAAAGCTTCTGATGATCCCAGCTGAGCTGCGTGAGCATCAGAGGCTTTTTTTTTTACTTTTAAAAGCGTTTTTTCGTCGGAAGAGGTTGTAGGAAAAATGCTTTTAAAAGTAAAAAAAAAAGCCTCTGATGATCGCGCTGCTCAGCTGGGCATGGTGGGGGGGGCAGGGATTTTTGCTACCGGTTCTCCGAACCACCCACCCCCATCGCTACTGGATCAGGCGATCTGTTCCGAACCGGGAGCATTTCACCCCTGATTTGGGTTTTCTATGAGAGCTCTGATGAAGCTTCCAAGGAGGTCGGACAACACCCCATATATGACTGTGAAGCTGTGTGTTATAATCCCTACATTTCTGGATTGCTCCAGAGTGTTCACAGAAAAATTCACTCTTTGATCTACTACGTCTACCATTTTTTTCTCTCCCCAAGTCTTTTAAGAGGCTAATCTCAACTCTACCGCCTTCTCCAGGAGGACCCATTGTAGGCTAACTGAATCATGAAAACAGAGAAGTGAAATTAGACTGCGAGTCTTTCTTGCAGAGCTCATGGTTTCCTATAATTTTTTTTTATTTTTTTTTTTACATTTCCTGGTCTTCATGAGAGAACATAACCATTCAGCAAAAACTCTTCCTCATCATGTTCAGTAAATTGCTCTCTCGGTGCTTTCTGCTTCTGGTTTCAAATTTGACATTTCTACAGGTAGCGATGAGGCGACCAGATTGCATGTCTGCTTTTTAAATATGCACAAATATAATTGCATTTGTTGGCAATTATTTTTAATATCCTGTTAGCCACTCAAGGTCATTCTGGCAAGAGGGTGGCCATATATATTGATGGCAACACTGATCTGATTGACTATCCGCAGATAACCCCATGCCCACCTTCCAGGCAGAATAGCAAATTTATTTACATATGTATTTATTTTATTTTTTCATTAACATGTCTTTATGTTTAAGAGGAACAGGCTGAGAGTTAAGCCCTGGGACACCCCCAAAAATGGAGCTGTGGGATGCACTTCTCCTAAAATATATGAAGAATGGTTGTGGGAACTGGGTATCTCTAGTCTAGTGAAAAGAAGGACTGGGGGTGACATGATAGCAATGTACCAATATTTGAGGGGCTGCCACCAAGAAGAGGGGGGTCAACTTATTTTCCAAAGCACCAGAAGGAAAGACAAGAAACAACGAATGGAAACTAATCAAGGGGAGAAGCAACCTAGAATTAAGGAGAAACTTCCTAACAGTGAGGACAATTAACCAGTGGAACAACTTGCCACTAGAAGTTGTGGGTGCTTCATCACTGGAGATTTTTAAGAAGAGACTGGACAGCCACTTGTCTGAAAAGGTACTAGGGTCTCCTGCTTAAGCAAAGGGTTGGACTAGAAGATCTCCAAGATCCCATCCAAATCTGTTATTCTGTTATTCCATCAATGCCAACTGGAACCAGTCCAGAGGAAGGAAGGGAACCAGGCATGACTGTGTCTCCTACTCCCAACTGCCAGAGTCTGTCCACAAATGGAATTGAAAGCTGCTGAAAAATCACGAAGAGCAAGGATGGATGCACTAACTCCAGCCAGTCCCACCAGAGATCATCTGCAAGATGACTCGTGCTGTTTTGAGCCTGGGCCTGAAACCCAACTTTTTTATAAAAAAAAAAATGTTTTTTTAATTTTATACTCAAACAAACACACAATACATAATCAATCTTTCAGTGCATCGTCTAGGTGTTTCATCAATGACTTATTATTATTATTCCTCCTATCTACATCCTTTTTTGGTTTTTTCCATTCCTTTGTTACAACATTCTCCCCACAATTCAATTATTATAACATTCTCTTGTTTAATATTAATATATTTATCTATATCTCTTCTCTAACCAATGGTAAAGTTGTTTCCATATCTTAAAATATTCCGTATCCTCTCTTTCTTTAATTATCAAAGTCAATCTATTCATTTCTGCACAGTCTAAAATTTTCTTGATTACTTCCCCTTCTGAAGGGATTTTCTCTGCTTTCCATCTTTGCGCAAATACTATCCTCGCTGCAGTTACTACATGAATATATATTCTCTTTACTAATTTTCTCTGGTAGGATCTCCAATAGGAACAGCTCTGGTTTTAAATCAATATGTTGTTAAAGCATTTCTTCTAACCATGTTTTAATTCTACTCCAATAGTTTCTGGCTTATGGACATGTCCACCACATATGATAGTACGATCCTGGTGTCTGCTGACATTTCCAACATTTAGCTGATTTGTCTTTTTGCCAATTTTTCCGGTGGCATTTGCCACCTATAAAACATTTTGTATTGGTTCTCTTTATATGCAGTGGACATTGTTAGTTTATAGTTCCTTTCCCATAACCGTTGCCATTTGTCTAACTTAATTGAGTATCCAAATTTTTTTGCCCAAGCTATCATTGTGGCCTGAAACCCAACTGGAAGGGATCTGATAATCTGCTTCCTGAACGCTTCTCTGAACTTGATGTGCAATTACTTTGTCAATAACCTTCCCTAAGAAGTCAAAGATGAAAAATGTCCTTGAATTGTGGGGTTTAATAATGACTTTTTGGAGAAAGGGGCAAACCACAATCTACTCTCACCAATGCCAGAACTCAACCACAACTCACCTCCTGGGAAACTTTAGCCCACCAGATGAGACAAGAGATAAGAGTTAAGATAAAAGGTAAGATATAAGATAAGGCAAGACTAGCACGAGAAGATGCTCTTTTTGGTGCCAAATTTTTAGCAGTCTGATCCCAGGTAGCAGCCTCAAAAATGGACCTTGTTCTTGAATGCAAATTTGCTGTCCTTTAGAATAAAATCAGAAGAAATCTGGTAGCACCTTCTCTAACTCAGATCTATAGCTCACGAAAGCTGATACCTTTGAATAAAATCTGCCTGTTGGGGAAAGTGCTACAAGATTCCTGATTTTGGACTATCGTGGATTAACATAGCGTTCCTCCTACAAATGTTGATGGCTTTATTATTGTTTCTGATAACTTCTCAAGAACATCCATGCTTTTTAGTTGGCATCAAGTTAGAAGCGTATATATGCCATTGGCTGCTCCATCATTTCTTGGGACTTTCAAGTCTACTCCCAAAGGTGCTTTTTTTTCAAGAGGCAACTGGAGTTTCTTGTTATTCTTCGAAGATATTTCGCTTCTCATCCAAGAAGCTTCTTCAGCTCTGACTGGATGGTGGTGAATGGAAGGATTTATATTCCTTGCAGACAGCTGGTCAATTGCATCCTTTTAGAGGGTCGTTGAAAACACTTGGAGGTTTATCTGTGTCCTCAGGGTCACCTGAGTGGGGCTCCTGGTTCCTGTAAAAATCCTCTAAAAGGATGCAAATGACCAGCTTCTGCAGGGAATATAAATCCTTCCATTCCCCACTACCCTGTCCGAGCTGAAGAAGCTTCTTGGAAGAGAAGCGAAATGCCTTCAAAAGAAAAAACAAGAAAGCCCAGTTGCCTCCTGGGACAATCATGAACTGGATGACTGAGAATCTCTACAACATAGTAGAGTAGACCCAGTGGTCTACTCTACTACACAGTAGGCTCAGATGAGAATGGCACTTTGGTGGCTCAGGGTATCAGTTGAACTCAGTCTACAAAGTTAGTTTTTGGTAGGTAGCTTAATTTAGTTAGTTTGTATTGCTTATATATATAGTTTATATTGTGGGATCGCAGGCAACTGGGTTAATTCGTTAATTGTAGGAGAGAGACTGGTAGAGTCAGAGGAAGGAGTCAGGTGAGAAATCAGTTTAGAATCCCTACATAGCCACAAGTCCTCTAACCCAGTGTTTCTCAACCTTGGTAGCTTGAAGATGGGTGGACTTCAACTCCCGGAATCCCCCAACCAGCAGCGCTGGCTGGGGGATTCCGGGAGTTGAAGTCCACCCATCTTCAAGCTACCAAGGTTGAGAAACACTGGTCTAACCCCACTAGAATGCTGTTGACCCTGCAAACTGTTAGTCTGAAAAGATTTCTGTCCGTAGGCTTGAGCACTACATCAAGAATTTTGAACCTTCTCATGTGTGGATCTGGTTGTTTGGACCTGACATTAAACTATGGACCCGCATGGTAAGACCACAGAGAAAATTCCTGTCATGGATTGGAAATCTTACTGTGTGGAAGTGATGACATATTATTGCTAAGATTTATTAAAAAGTTATTGAAATTGAGTATGTAAAACATTGTATGATTCAGTGGGCAAGGAATCTTGGATACAATGTGATGCTTGAATAACGGGAAAATATGTGGACGGAGGGTTTT